TTTTTTTTTTTTGAGTCAAGGTCTTGTGTTTTCCTTTGTGATTCAGACTGGCCTTGAAGTCATTATGTAGCCCAGGCTGGTCTGGATCTCACAGTGATCCTCCTGCCTCAGCCATTGAGTACTAGGATTACCAGCATGGTCTACCAGGCCCAGCCCACATAAATTGTTACTCAAATTTTAAGGGTAAAGGGACAGAGGTGCTGTTAATAATCACACAGGTGACAACAGATGTAGGCCAGAACCATCCCAAGCAAACCAGGGCAGAAGGGAACCTTGCCTCTCCCTCAAACACATGCAAAGCTCAGGGCACACCCATGCCTTGTCCGCTTCAACAACTCCTGCCAGGACCACCCAAGGGCACAGTGATGGAGTGAAGTCTGCTAAGGGGCAGGTAGGCACACGTGCTCCCTGGGCCAGGGCCACCACTCACATCTTTGTTGCCATCTTTGCTTTGGTCATAATGTTTGTGGCAGTACCTGCAAGGGAAAAAGTGGTATGCACAGGTGAGGGGCTGCACCAGGATGGGAGACTCCACGTGGCCACCTGAACAGCCTACGATGGCCAAGCCTGGGGAACATGCCTGCAGCACAGCGGGGAGCTAGCTGCCATCTGAGCCTCCCGTGCTTCTCAGCTCCCTGGGCTGCTGGGTGACTTACTCCTCTGCCATCCTAGTGTCCTTCAAAACATGGACATAGATGAAAAGAGCTTGCTCGTGCTTCCCCATGCGCCCCAGCAGGAGTGCTCGCTCTTCTAAGAGGCCTAGGAGGAAGAAGGAATAGGAGTCACCATCACCATCACAACACAAACATGAGGTAGAGACTAAGCTGCTAGTGGCCGAACACTGGGGCAAGGCTCAGTGTACAGAAACATTTAACACCTACAGGGCCTGGGGCTCAATCTCAAGGACGAGAGTAACAAAAATAACAAAACACAATGGAAGTCAATAGGAGAAATTGACTACATTGGTCACAAGAGGGAAGGAGTTACTTCAGGAGGTACATATCTCACCTTTTAAAGATCACTTTTAAATGGTAACAACACTCACACAAATATACAAGCCACAACTACATGAGCCAGATGCTCCAGAAAGGGAAGCTAGTGCTTGGCTTCAGCACTCAGAGCTCATACATCAGACAGACATGTCTTTTTAAGATGAATACTCCAGATTACAAAAATAGCTAACCTATGAGCATGGCCAAGAATGTGCTCTGAAGCAAAGAACAGGTTCCAACACAGCTATCAATTAATGTGGTTCACACCTAGCGAAGAGTCCTCATACAGCCAAGACACAAAAGTGAGTCTTCAGAGGTGCCAAAACAGGAGCAGGCCTGAGAACCTGGTTTCCTCAGATCTACCTCCAAGAAGGAATGGGGACCAGCTTTTTGCAGTACCCTGAGCTCAGCGGCTTTTAGCTGTAAGTCAGACACTCACCATCAAAAGGAAAATCGCAGATAAGCCGTCCTGGATCATAGTAGCTAGAAATCTCCAAGAACATGAGCAGCTTCTGCCGGTATTCTCCCAGCTCCCCCTCTTCCTCTCCAGCAGGGACTGGGGTTTTGCCTTTAGGGGAAACCAAGTCAGCATGAAAGGACACTATGGAGTCACCAGGAAAATGAGGAGAGGGGGGCTCAGCACTGCCACCACATAAGCAAAGGGCTCCACTGGGATTTCTAGGTGAAATTATTTTACTTTATTGTCTCTGTGGCCCCTAAACTCAGAGCTCATAGTTTCTTGGTCATCCAGTTTGACAGCACGGCTGTTATCTTATAGACAGGGATGTCCCTCTGCTCTCCCCCAGAGACTACTCTCAGAGGTGGCCACACACAGACAAGGCCTTGTTCCTGAGTCTCATATGTTGGGCCTGGGTCACCGGGGATCCGGCTTCCCCCTCCCACACAGAAGGCCAGGGCCCCCAGCTCTGGGCAAGAACTAGTACCTTCAGGGCAGGACAGGAGGTACTCCTTCATCAACCCCTGCACCTTCTCGCAGTACAGCTGGATCAGGCAGTTGTGGAAGCGAGAGCCTGTCTCTTCCCAGAAATGGATGATGTGCTCCTGTGGAGGGACGTGGGGCTTCTGTCTGCTGCGCTCCCTGCAGTGACCCAGCCTCACATTTTCAAAGCCCCAAAGATCCAATCGCCATGATCCCCTAATGAAGCTGTCAAGATTATCACAGCCTGCCCTTCTGTAACCATGGGGAAATCCTACAATGCAACCTAACAGTACCAGGAACTGTTTAGTTCAACCCCAAACTCAAGTCCTTTTAATTTTGTCTTGAACATTAGGCCCTGTAATAAAGGTTAAATGTGTATATTCTGGTATTGAAAACCTATTTTATTATCCTGTGGTTACAACAGAATTTGGCTGTATAAATATGACTTTTCCTAAAGTATTCTTTTATCCCTTTGTAGTTTACTAGATTCAGAAGGTATCATTAACAGTAGCATTTCCACCTTGGTCTCCTAGGATCTCTTTTTTCAGAGGAAGCTGAAATCACCCTTTCTCTCACATTTCCACCAGCCCCAAGTGACACAAATCCCACATCTGAATTGCCCGATAACTGAACCACACAGTCTTGGATCCTGGGTTTTAGTGCATACCAAAAATATCTTACCAGATAAGGTACAGCCAGACTCTTAAAATTCTCTAATAAGAAGCCAAGAACTTGATCTCGGGGTAGAGCCTCCACCTCTGGAAGGTCTTCGGTAAATATCTGCTGGAACACACCCTCATTCTCACAACAGACCTGATTGTAGTTGCACTGAGCCCACACGTGCAGGCACTGGGATGGGGTGGACAGACTGGGAGGGGGAGGGGTAGCAGAAGCAGCCACAGTTGTGTAGTGCACAGAAACTGGGCTGCCGGTCTCCGAGCCCCAGGACAATCTTATTCTATTGTCTCTGTCTTCTCTTTCAAGCCCCAAGGGAAGAGCAAAAACCCAACCTCCCAGGGCCCTCCCGCAGCTACTGATGTCCCAGGGACAATCAGAACTAAACCCAGGGGGCCCTATGACCCACCTTCAGGCCATCTTCTGGGAAGTCTCTCAGCACCCACACGGAGTAGGAAAAAATCAAATGCAGGTTTTCTGAGCCTACAGGAAACAAGGCCTATCAGCACTGGACAGAACGGGGTTTGTCCAATGGGACCGGGAGGTTGGCAGTGCAGACTGGCCCCAGAGCTCATTTCGCAGACTAGACAGTCCTGTCCTGGCACCGCCCATTCAGTGCTTGCCCTCCTGGGCTGGCTACCTGTCACAGAGGCATCAAGTGATTTTTGTGCCAGGAGGAGGAGTGAAGTGGGGTAAGCACAACAAAGGGAAGGGACAGACCAGCCAGCCAGAGATGGAGGACAAAGTCATCACCAATGCTTTTGAGAGGTGACTCACCCAGATGCTGCAGGTACTGCACTGTCCTCTCGTGGCCCTTCAGAGGAGAGTTCGCTTTCTTGGACTGGTCCACCAGCACCTGCAGAGCTGGCCAGAGCCCAGGGAAGGTCATAAGCCTCCTTCCCAATGGAGATGCATCTCTCCTCCAGTTCCATGCCGGCACACCAGAGACTCCCAGATCCCAGAAGCCCCTCCCCTGGCACCTTTCTCGTGGAGCCCCTTCTTTTCATATAGGATTATCAGCTCGCTGTACTTGTGAGCCTTCTTCAGCACATGCTCACTCTCCTCAATGTGGCAGTGATTGTTCTCCAGCCGCAGCAAGGGAGCCACCAGGGCCACATTCGTCTGGGGATGGGTGTGCAGGAGCAGGGTGTTAGCAGAAACTGCTGCCTGGGGAGCCCCATCCTCCCCTACCCTGGCCACTCCAGATGAAGGCCAGGGATGTAACACAAGCATAAGAAAACAGCCCGGAAGGAAGAGGAACTAAAGAGAATTAAGGTGTGTTATGTACATGGACCAACTCCCCAAGATAAATGTAATCATTAAGTACAAATGTGTACTAATAAAAATAAAACTTTGAAAGAAAAAAAAAAGTGCAAAACCCCCTTTTAAGATGACTTTGGGCCAGGGATTTAGCTTAGTGGCGCCACCACCTGTCTTGCAAGGGCAAGGCCCTGAGGTCAATTCCCAGTACAAAAAAAAGATGGCTTTAACAGCATTTATGCCCTTCCATAAGACATGTCTCAATGTCCAGCGGGGAGAAGGGGATAACTGCTTTGAGGATTTACTGTCCCACTGACCTTGTAGCAGTGTAGCAATCTTAAACCTTGCTAGAGAAGAACCGGCCTGTGTAAGACTCTAGATTAGTATTTTTCTTATCCTCTCAATTCCAAGAATTTCACAGGCAACAGGCCACAATGAGTGGTCCTCATCATCAAGTCTCCCCTCTGATCAGTGGTGGGTTCCCTAGAGGGCAGCCCATGCTCTGCTTCCCCAGACTTTCGGAGCTGGGCCACTCACATGGAGGTAGCACTTGAGCAGGGTAGTGTCGATGATCTGCAACAGCTTCTTCTTGGACTTGATGGTGGGCGTGCCTTCCATGAGCGGGGAGGTGCTGGACTGGTGGTCAGAGTCGTTCAGCTTCTTCACCAACTGACTTCGTTTCTGCAGAGGCCAAACACATGGGGTGGAGGACAGGCCCAAGTTAGCTTTCCTCTGTTACACCCTGGGCTGCTGGGTAACTCAGGACACTTCCAAACCAATGTAGGCCTAGTAAATGAGATCCCACTTTAGCATTCGGTTTTTCTTGGGACCAAAACAGATGGCAACCAAATTGCCAAATACAGTGACAACACTTACCTATTCGATTTTGGGATCAGTTTTTGCCTATTCTTTTCTTTTTTTTGGAGACAGGATCTTTACAATTCAGGCTGATTTGGAACTCACTACGTAGCCCAGGCTGGCCTCAAATTTGCATCAATCCTCTTGCCTCAGCCTCCCAAGTGCTGGGATTACAGGCATGTGCCACCACGCCTGCCTTGACTACTCTAATTTACACAAGCAGAATCAACCAGTTTGGATATTTTTGCACTTGACAAAGCCCATGGTCTTAGGTGTTTTACTCTCTGGCACAATCCTGATGTTGGTTAATTTCACACATTTTCAGTACCAGTGCAGAAGGCCACAGAAAAATATGCGATCGTGGGCAGAGGGTGCTCCACAACACCACAGGCCATGGGGAAGATCACATCCCAGGAACTTCTTCACTTGGCCCAGGGCTGTGCAGGGTGCAAGCAGAGGCGAGCCACAGCTGGGCACCCTGGAGCGTGATGTCAAGAGTGCCAAGGCTAAGCACGCCCAACAGACCTGTAGGTACATCCTGAGCCAGGCACAGAGTGAAAGGCAGTATTGTAATTTTTCCAGGAGTACTTCTCATGCCTACAGGAGACTACTTACAAAGGTCAGCAGAACACTCACAGAGGAGAAAATATTCACTAAGTCTCCAACCTTGAACAGGAGCACAGGAAGTTAACACTGTGTAAGATGTGTCATGCACAGGAACCTAATAACCTCAATCAAGGCAGGCGCAAGCCATAGCATGTCTAGGGCAAACAGTGTCAAAAGGAATGAAAAAGATGACTGGGGAACCAGGGGAGGCAGAGGGGAGGGGAAGGAAAAAAAACCAAACAAGCTGTAATATGTACACATAACCACTCCCCAAGATGACTGTAAGCTGCATGAATTACAAGCATGTACTAATAAAATAAAATAAAAATTTTTGAAATAACCAAACTGTCACTCAACGCCGTGACAGAAAACTACAGGTTAGGTTAAGAGGCTTCAACAGAGGCTTTAGTTTTAATGTTGACTTTAAAATTTCACTTAACTGTCCATAAATTGAAAAATAATTTTAATCTACATAAATCTCAAAAAGCATGTAATATTTATTGACAAGAAATTTCTCAATATATAGGTTAATTTTAAAAAGTAAGCTATAAAACAATTCATATTTCTGTTTTGTACTTTTCTATGTTTTCATAGAGCTGGTACCATAATTATGTATGGTATGAAAAAGTTTGTTTAAAAAAATTTAGCTCTCTTCTATGAACTAAAATGTACCCTTGGTAAGTACAGTGGATCCTTGACCTACAAACTCAATTTGTTCGTGAGGGCTGGTTGTAATTCAAGTTGGTCAATGAAAGCTCAGACTCCTCTCACTGCCTTCAAAGTCTCTCTCTTATGCACAGGCAGATCTCATCCCTCAGAGAGACACTGGCCCAGGATTTCTCAATCAACCCCGCATAGGAAAGGATGTTCTAATGGTCCTTCCAGAGCTCTTTAAGAGTTAAGTCTGTATCTGAGACTATCTGGAAGCACAAGCAGCTGGCATTCGGGTTGTAACTCAAGACTTTGTTCATAAGTTAAAATCACAATTCCAGTCCTAACCCAAGTTATTTGTATGTCAGTCCAGTCATAACTCAAGGGTCCACTGTAGTTCCTATAACAACTTAGTAAGAATTTACGAGGAATTCTGTAAGTTTCCTGGTGTCAGGATTTGGCAAAGCACAGCTCAATGGCACTATGAACTTGGGACAACAGTGACCCACACAGGCTTCAGTAGCACTCATTTATAGCATGCTGGGGGCATCACCCAAGGCCGAGTCCCTGCTGCAGAGAAAAAGGCACAGTACCCACCTGCGTCAGGTAGTCGATCAACGCTAAGTGGGCCTTCTCCAGCTCAGCCCCTGAGAGCACAGGCAGCGGATTAGGGTACTGAAGCTGCTTTCTGTAGTCTGTGGGCAGCAGGTCAGGGTACAGGCCCATCACGTGGGTGGGATCTGCAAGAAAGGCAAATGTGAGTCTTTTGGAAAGGAGCCTAACAATAAGGATAAACAGGATTATCACAATAGCAAAGTAAGTTCCAGACTGATTTTTTTTTAAAGGAATGCCTCTACATTCAGAAAAACTCAATGAGCAGGTATATATAATTTAAATATTATACACTGAAACATTATAAAAATGGCATGGCTATCTTCCAAGACACAGATACATCCACAGAATTAGAAATATTTATCAACTTCTAAAGTAGAATATAAAAAAAAAAAATCCAAGAAAAAATTGATGATAGTGAAAAGAAACATATCAAGAACAAAAATTAGTTTAAAAAAATCCCAGACAAGCACAAATACAGACTTCCAGTTCATCAACAGCAAATTCTAGGGGAAATGAGGTGGAAAAATCTGACAATCAAGTACCAGGACACCCTGAACTCATAGCACAGGAAGTAACAAAACAGATCAATCAGGCTCTAGAAAAATTCAAAATAGAAATAATTGTTACTGTAGCCGATAACTAAGGAGATGATGAGCACAGTGAAAGGCATGACTAGACACTCTAGAACAGAAACTAACAAAAAAGTAGATGAGCTCAGGACCATTATAGAAACCATGAATGCCCAGCATAGGTAAGAAATGGAAACCGGCCAGGCCCTGATCCACCGCGGGAAGGAGAACCACGCCTGCTCCCGACCCAGCAGCCATAGCTCAAGCGCCGGGAAGGTAGGCCGGCCAGATCCACCACGGGAAGGAGAACCACACCTGCTCCCGACCCAGCAGTCATCACTCAAGCGCCGGGAAGGTAGCCACGCGGACGCCCCTGAACCCCCATAATCCCCCCCCGCCGCACTCTCAGACCTCCTGACTGTGCAAGTCTTTGGACCCACTCTGCAAAGACAGAGTTGGTCATCAAGGGTATTTTTCTGAGTTCCCAACTTTGAACATCTTTAAAGACATGGCGGGGGAAACCTGTAATAGAACATTGCGGAGTTCAACCATTCAGAAGGATGGGGAACTCAATCTGGGCCTTGCAGCCCGAGGTCAGTCAGCGTCATGGGGTTCAGCAATCAGCTAACTGAGATCAAGGGTCTTGCATCCTTGCTCTGTCTGAGCCATTAAATGGTAAATATACTATATTGAAAAGTTTGTTCACTGCAGACATGTTCTGGACTGCTTCTTGATTTCAATTTAATTCAAATGATTTAAGGGTGATAGACTAGTGACTACCACAGGTGGTCAGTGTCCAAGTTGTGCTTGATCTTAATGTGCTGCTGATTGTATCAGTTGGGGTAAAGCACTGCCGTTGATTTGATGAGCTGTTTTCTCTGATGTTATGAAGATGAGAATGTCTGTGGGTCGTTAGAGACACAGAAG